AAAAATGGGGAAAAAAATTGAATTTTTGTCCATAAAAATGTAGAAATTCCATTGACTCGAGCAACACTGCAAAGCCACAGGGTTTGCACATCAAAAATTAATTTTTGCAAATTTTCTTGGCGATTCTTTTCTTTCAGCCTAAATTCACCTCATAAAATGGAGAAAATGGGAGGAAAAATTGAAAAAATGGGGAAAAAATTGAATTTTTGTCCACAAAAATGGAGAAATTATATTTTGACTAAAGGAGCACTGCAAAGCCACAGGATTTGCACATCAAAAATTAATTTTTGGCAGCTTTTCTTGGTATTTCTATTGTTTTAGCCCAAATTGATCCCTAAAAAATTGAGAAAATGGGGGAGAAAATGGAAAAAAATAGAGAAAAAATTGAAATTTTGTCCACAAAAATGGAGAAATTATATTTTGACTAAAGGAGCGCTGCAAAGCCACGGGGTTTGCACATCAAAAATTAATTTTTGCCAGATTTTCTTGGTATTTATTTTCTTTCAACCCAATTTCACCCCTGAAGAGTGGAGAAAATGGAAAAAAATGGGGAAAAAATAGAGAAAAAATGGAATTTTTGTCCATAAAAATGTAGAAATTCCATTGTTACTTGAGCAGAACTGCAAAGCCACGGGGTTTGAACATCAAAAATTAATTTTTGCCAGCTTTTCTTGGTATTTCTTCTGTTTTAGCGCAAATTGATCCCTAAAAAATGGAGAAAATTGGGGGGAAAATGGAAAAATGGGGAAAAATGGAAAAAATGGGGGAAAAATGGAAAAAAATGGGGGAAAATTGGAAAAAAAAGGGGAAAAAAATGGAATTTTTGTCCACAAAAATGGAGAAATTGCAAATCCACGGGGTCTGTGTGTCAATGCAGTATTAATTAATTAATATTAATAATATTAAAACCCGTTGGTACAATGTTGTCAGACAACGAATGTGGGAAAAAAAAAGGGGAAATAAATGGGAAATCCTGGATTTTCTTTGGGAAAACTGGGGAAAAAATTGGGGTTTTGATCTCAAATCCTGAATTTTCTTTGGGAAAATTGGGGGAAATGGATTTTTCCTTTCTTTGGGAAAAAATGGGGTTTTCCCTCTCAAATAATATGGATTTTCTTTAGGAAAACTAGGAAAAAATGGGATTTTTGTTCTCAGGTCCTAAATTTTCTTTGGGAAAATAGGGAAAAAATGGGGTTTTTTCTTTCTTTGGGAAAATTGGAATCCCAGTGGGTGAATTCCCAGAAAAAGGCACCTTGTGGCTTCCTCCACTTGGGAATATTCTGAATTTTGGGAATATTTCTGATTTCAGACAGCCAAATAAACACAGTTAATGGTTTTTATATGACCAAACTCTCCGCTTGGGAATATCCTAATTTTGGGAATATTTCTGATTTCCGGCACCCAGATAATCCCAGTTCCTGGTTTTCTCTGCATGGGAATATCTCAATTTTTGGGAATATTTCTGATTTCAGGCAGCCAAATAAACACAGTTAATGGTTTTTATCTGACCAAACTCTCAATTTGGGAATATTCCAAATTTTGGGAATATTTCTGATTTCTGGCACCCAGCCAATCCCAGTTCCTGGTTTTGCATCTGACCAAATTCTCCACTTGGGAATATTCCAATTTTGGGAATATTTCTGATTTCTGGCACACAGATAATCCCAGTTCCTGGTTTTTATCTGACCAAACTCTCCACTTGGGAATATCTCTAATTTTGGGAATATTTCTGATTTCAGGCATCCAAACAATCCCAGTTTCTGGATTATAGCTGACCAAATTTTCCACTTGGGAATATGTTGATTTTAGGGAATATTTCTGATTTCAGGCACCCGGCCAATCCCAGTTCCTGGTTTTTATCTGACCAAACTCTGCACTTGGGAATATTTCTGATTTTGGGAATATTTCTGATTTCAAGCAGCCAAATAAACACAGTTAATGGTTTTTATCTGACCAAACTCTGCATGGGAATATTTCCAATTTTTGGAATATTTCTGATTTCAGGCATCCAAATAAACACAGTTAATGGTTTTTATCTGTCCAAATTCTCCGCTTGGGAATATCTCAATTTTTGGGAATATTTCTGATTTCTGGCACCCAGATAATCCCAGTTCCTGATTTTTATCTGACCAAACTCTCCGTTTTGGAATATCCCAATTTTTGGAATATTTCTGATTTCTGGCAGCCAAACAATCCCAGTTCTTGTTTTTTATCTGACCAAACTCTCTGCATGGGAATATCCCAATTTTTGGAATATTTCTGATTTCAGGCAGCCAAATAAACACAATTAATGGTTTTTATCTGACCAAACTCTCCGCTTTGGAATATCCCAATTTTTGGAATATTTCTGATTTCTGGCACCTGGCCAATCCCAGTTCTTGGTTTTTATCTGACCAAACTCTCCACTTGGGAATATTTCTAATTTTTGGGAATATTTCTGATTTCAGGCACCCAGATAATCCCAGTTTCTGGTTTTCTCTGCATGGGAATATCTCAATTTTTGGGAATATTTCTGATTTCAGGCACCCAAATAATCCCAGTTTCTGGATTATACCTGACCAAATTTTCCACTTGGGAATATGTTGATTTTTGGGAATATTTCTGATTTCTGGCACCCAGCCAATCCCAGTTCCTGATTTTCATCTGACCAAACTCTCTGCATGGGAATATCTCAATTTTTGGGAATATTTCTGATTTCAAGTAGCCAAATAAACACAGTTAATGGTTTTTATGTGACCAAACTCTCTGCTTGGGAATATCTCAATTTTTGGGAATATTTCTGATTTCAAGCACCCAGATAATCCCAGTTCCTGATTTTTATCTGACCAAACTCTCTGCATGGGAATATCCCAATTTTTGGGGATATTTCTGATTTCAGGCATCCAAATAAACACAGTTAATGGTTTTTATCTGACCAAATTCTCCGCTTGGGAATATTCTGAATTTTGGGAATATTTCTGATTTCAGGCAGCAAAATAAACACAGTTAATGGTTTTCACCAGACCAAACTCTCTGCATGGGAATATCTCAATTTTTGGGAATATTTCTGATTTCAGACAGCAAAATAAACACAGTTAATGGTTTTTATCTGACCAAACTCTCCACTTGGGAATATCTCAATTTTGGGAATATTCCGAATTTTGGGAATATTTCTGATTTCAGGCATCCAAATAATCCCAGTTTCTGGATTATACCTGACCAAACTCTCTGCTTCCTCAGTTTCCAGGTTTAAAAAATATTTTTTTTGCTCAACATTTTGCCTCCTCAAAACCCTCCTTAAATTTCAATAGTTTAAATATTTCAATTCCGATATTCCAATAAAAATTTTGGTTTTTTTTGGCGGGTGTTGGAAATTAAATAATTAAATCAAGGGAAAGCCACGTGTCCATCCCCCCCTTTTTTTTTCTTTTTTTTCTCTCTGTTTTTAAGCATCAGACAGTTTGAACAGATTAAAAACTGCAGTTTTTAATCAATCCACACCCACTGCCACAGATTTCCTGCCATAAAAATAATCCCACATTGGATGGGAGGGAAAAGTCCCACCCTAATAACAGAGAAAAAAAAACCAAAAAAACCAGAAAGGGTTAAAAGGTAATAAAAGGATTAATATCAAACCTAAGCCAAACCTTTAAGTGATATTTTATTTCATTAAAATGTGAAGTTTGGTGACTCGGTGTTTTAACTGCTTTGGAGCCAAAATGTTAATTTTTAAATATCTGTAAAATAGAGGTTTGCTGTAAAACCCTCTGGAAATAAAATTCCCTTAAAATAATTTGCAGAAAATATCTAAGGAACTGCCATTTTGGCCCAAAAGCAGGAAATTCATCCCTAAAATACTTTATTTTCAACAGCATCTGAATAAACCAGTGCAGAGTTTGATCTTAAGGCTCTTAGAGGCTTCTAAATTAAACTCAATTAAACCCAGCAGATAAATCTCAGTTTCTTGAAAAATAATCCTCAAAGCTGACCAGCTGCAAGCTCTGGTTGTCTTCAGAAGAAATTCGGATTTTTTAGATGTTTCTGGCACAAAATGAGCACAAACCCTCTGGGCCATCAAAGAAACCACCACAAATGAATGAGGATTACAAAGAGCAGCCTGATGAAAAATGAGTTTAAATGCCAAAATTCCTCACCAGCACAACTTCCAACAGCCAGAACTAAACTCAGCGAGCCCTGGTCTTGAGGTTGGTTAAAAATTAAGATTTTAAGGAAAGGAAAGGAAAGGAAAATGGGAAAGGAAAATGGGAAAGGAAAATGGGAAAGGAAAATGGGAAAGGAAAATGGGAAAGGAAAATGGGAAAGGAAAATGGGAAAGGAAAATGGGAAAGGAAAATGGGAAAGGAAAATGGGAAAGGAAAATGGGAAAGGAAAATGGGAAAGGAAAATGGGAAAGGAAAATGGGAAAGGAAAATGGGGAAGAAAAGGAAAGGAAAATGGGAAAGGAAAATAATGGGAAATGGGAAATGGGAAAGGAAAATGGGAAATAGGGAAAGGAAAATGGGAAAGGAAAATGGGAAAATGGGAAAATGGGAAAGGAAAATGGGAAAGGAAAATGGGAAAGGAAAATGGGAAAGGAAAATGGGAAAGGAAAATGGGAAAGGAAAGGAAAGGAAAGGAAAGGAAAGGAAAGGAAAGGAAAGGAAAGGAAAGGAAAGGAAAGGAAAGGAAAGGAAAGGAAAGGAAAGGAAAGGAAAGGAAAGGAAAGGAAAGGAAAGGAAAGGAAAGGAAAGGAAAGGAAAGGAAAGGAAAGGAAAGGAAAGGAAAGGAAAGGAAAGGAAAGGAAAGGAAAGGAAAGGAAAGGAAAGGAAAGGAAAGGAAAGGAAAGGAAAGGAAAGGAAAGGAAAGGAAAGGAAAGGAAAGGAAAGGAAAGGAAAGGAAAGGAAAGGAAAGGAAAGGAAAGGAAAGGAAAGGAAAGGAAAGGAAAGGAAAGGAAAGGAAAGGAAAGGAAAGGAAAGGAAAGGAAAGGAAAGGAAAGGAAAGGGGGCTGTGGGGCCGCTCACCTGGAAGGGACAGGGGATGTGGTACTCCCGGCAGCGCTCCTGGATCCAGGTGGTCTCCCACACGCCCCGGTACGCCTGCTCGTAGAAGTAGCAGCCGATGACCACCAGCAGCGGCACGAGGTAGAGCACGCTGAAGACGCCGATGCGGATCATGAACTTCACCAGCTTGTCCTGGTTCTCCTTCTCCAGCGGGATCTCGATGCGGACGCGGTTGAGGGAGATGATTCCGGCCAGCAGCAGGGACACCCCCACCACCACGTAGAGGCACAGGGGCGCCAGCACGAAGTAGCGCAGCGCGTCCACGTCGTAGAGGCCGACGAAGCAGACGCCGCTGATGTTGTCGCCCTCGATCTTGTTCATGGCCAGCAGCGCCACGGTCAGCGTGCCGGGGATGCCCCAGGCGCCGGCGTGGAAGAGCAGCGCCTTCTTCTCGATGGCCTCGCTGCCCCACTTGGGCACGGCGGCCAGGAACCAGGTGATGGTGAGGATGACCCACCAGACGCTGCCGGCCATGGTGAAGAAGTAGAGCACCATGAAGAGCATGGTGCAGGCCTTGTTGTGGGAGCCCTGGGTCACCGTGGCGGCTTTGTACTGCGCGGGGCTGGAGGCGTTGCAGGCCACCCGGTCCTCCAGCAGGAAGCCGATGAAGAAGATGAGGGACACCATCATGTAGCAGACGGCGTAGAAGATGATGGGCCTCTCCGGGTAGCGGAAGCGCGTGACGTCGATGAGGAAGGTCAGGAAGGTGAACAAGGTGGCCGAGAGGCAGACGATGGAGATGACGCCGATGAAGTAGCGGGCGAAGGACAGCTCCTCCCGGCGGAAGTACATGTTGGGGCAGGGCGGGGAGCAGTCCCGCACCCTCAGGAAGGAGTAGCCCAGCTCCGGGTCGATCTTCAGCTCCCGAGGACACCAAAAGCCGTAATCCCTCTGCACGGCCATCGGGGCCTCCTCCGTGGGCTCGCCGGCCACGTTGAGGTCAACCAGGCGAGGGTAGGGCTCGTCGCAGTCTGGGAACCTGCAGGGAAAATACAGTTTACAGGGCCTGAGAACCCCATTTCACACAGAATTCACAGAAAAGACCTTAAAGATCATCGAGTCCAACCCGTGCCCGGCACCCCAACTAAGCCATGGCACCCAGTGCCACATCCAGGGTTTGTCAAACACATCCAGGGTTTGCTAAACACACCCAGGGTTTGTTAAACACATCCAGGGTTTGTTAAACACATCCAGGGTTTGTCAAACACATCCAGGATTTGTTAAACACATCCAGGCTTTGCTAACCCCACCACCTCCCTGGCCAGAATTTTATCACTCTTTCTGTGAAAACTTTTTCCCAATTTCCAGCATTTCCCGTGAGGCAGACTGAGGCTGTGCTGTGGATTGTCTGGGCAGCAATTCCAGAATTTTATCACTCTTTCTGTGAAAAACTTTTTCCCAATTTCCAGCATTTCCCGTGATGCAGACTGAGGCTCTGTGCTGTGGTTCTGACAGTTCCTGGAGAAAGCCCAACCCCAGCTGAGCTCAGCCACCTTTCAAGAGATGTGGAGAGCACTGAGGTCACCCCTGAGTCTCCTTTTCTCCAGGCTGAGCACCCCCAGATCCCTCAGGGGTTCCTCACAGGGTTTGTGTGTTCCCAGCCCCTCTCCAGCCTCGTTGTCCCCTCTCCTTCCCAAAGTGAGCTGGGCACAGCTCCGGGTGTGCCCTCAGCAGTGCCCACATCATTCCTGACACAAAAATCAGCATTTCTAGGTGTGACTTCAGGAAAAACAACTGGGGCAAAACCAGACAATCCAAAAAAAAATTGGGGAATCCATCAAATTCTGCAGTGTTAATCACAAACTCATCCTGCAGCGCAATGTTGAAACTGTAAAATAAGTTTAAGAATCAAACAGGTGAGGGGCCAATTTGAGCTTTAAGAATGAAGGTAAGGATGCAAAACCCATCCCAGAAAATCTGTGAATTCCAGCCCGTGGCAGCAGGATTTTAAAAACATTTTAAAGCCTTTCCTAAACAACTGCACTCGCTGCCATCGGACAGGGCAGTGAGGTGGTGACACCGAAATTCCAACTGGCACTGCCTCCAGTTTTATTAAATGGAATTATGAGGAAGGTATTTGTGGAGTTGACACCGGTTTTCATAAATGGAATTATGATGAAGATATTTGTGTAAATAAAGCTCTGACTGGAGGCTGAGGACTTCTAGAGTTTCAAAGGAGAGATTGATTCCAGTAACCTAGAAACATCTTCTGACTCATTTAACTAAAATAATTTTAATTGTTTTTCATTCTCTCCAGTCCAGCTGTGAACTATTTCTTCCTGTTACTGTTGGAGTCACTTAAAAAAACAATAAAGCACGAAGACACTGCTTTTAATTTCATGCATGTTCTGCCTCAAACAGCTTGGAACACCATCGGACCGTTTTCCCACGAATTTATTTGTGCCACGTGAAGCTGACCGCAGCTGTTTGCAGCTCAGCACGGGGTACAAGCTCTGCAAACAGCTTTGAGCTTTCACCCTCATCAAACCCAGCCAATTTGCAGCTGATCTTTGGGCAGAAAGAGGAACTCGCTTCCCACAGATCAGGAAAAAGTTGCTGGTGATTGGGAAGGAAAACGCGTCCGCGCCGACGGAAAACGTTTAAAAATGGGAGTAAAAGTTTATGCTGGAAGGAAATAAAACAATGAAACGGGTTTCCTGACCTGGTGCACTCCATGTCCTCGGGCCAGGCCACCCCGAACATCTCCATGAGCTTGGAGCACTCGCTGTGGGCGCGCTGGCAGAGGCGGCGGCAGGGCAGCGCCACGCGCCCGTACTCCATGCACACCGGCGCGTACAGCGCGCACAGGAACGGGCGGAAATCCCGGGAGCACTCCAGGTTCACCATCGGGTGGAAGGGCTGCCAAGGGAAAAAAACAAAAAAAAAACAACCAAAAAAATTGAGGATTCAGTAGCTGCAAGCAGCTCTTTGGTGGGAATGTTTCGCTTTTTATCGCATCGCGACTTTCTGGATGTTGGGAGAACATTGGGACGGAATTCGAAATTTGGGGGTTTTAGGAAGACAGGGGACCATGGGGACAATGAAAATATTCCCAAGGGATATTTATGTCCTCCATCTGCATTAAAATCAGTGTGAATTAGAGGATAAATCCCCCCGAGGGTGGATCCCATTTCTCTCATGACGGTGTACGCGTACGTTATCCCAATTATTTAAATTCCCACACAACCACGGAGCTTCCAGGGCTGTGACCACACTGAAAGCACAACCACACAACCAAGACTTCATTTCTTGCCTAAGCATCAGAAAGCACCGTGGAATCAAAACCTGAAAAAATAAAAATATCAAAATAAATGACAGGCGCCTCGTGCTCCTGAGGTGCTTCACAACAGGTTTGGGTGTCAACGAGAGCGACGCTCCTTGGAAGCTCTGAGAGAAAATCTGTCGGATTTAGGCAAACACGGCTGGTCTGGAGCACTGCTGAAGGATAAAGAAGGAGGAATAAAGAGGACAGGGATTTATGTCTCAGAAAAGTCTGGTGCGTGGTGATAATCCACGTCGCTGTCCTGGTTTTTGTGGTTTGTCCTCAAAACTCACCAAGAATTAATCCACGTTTTATTCCACCACCCAAAGCTTCTCCATCTCTTTGGATGTCAATGTAAGATCAATGATATTCCCCTGAGAGTGGAATTAGAGATTATTGGAACACATAAAAACTTCCAGTTCTGGAATAAAACAACCCCCAGGCTGGAAAAACTTCTCCTGGTTTATATTTCAAATCACAGCTCAAAGGGAAAAAGCTTTGTTCTACACAGATTCTTTAGGAAAACTCCATTATTTGGAGTTTTCTCCACAGCCCAGCAGGATTAAGGAGCAGGAATTCCAATCCTGGGAATTTGCAGCGCGGTAGCTGAAGGACAAACGGACCTGCTGGATATAAATACATTTAAATCCTAAATTTGTTACAAGTGCAGCTGAAGAGGAGCTGCAGAAAGATTACACTCTCAACCAGCAATTTCCTGAGAAGTGCTTTAAACAAATTCAGCATTTTCTTTTTCCAAACTGTAGAGTAGAACTGATCTGACAGGAAAAAGTAGGTCATTTTCTGTGACCAGAAAATGGCAAATAGAAGGAATTATAAGGGAAAATTTCACTTCTCCCTTACCTCCTCTTTACTCTTCCAATCCTTCCCAGAAATCTCCATCTCACTGCAAAATTTGGGAACAAGAGACTCAACCATGCCATGATTTTAATGTGTTGTTTTTTATTTTTTAAATCATTATTATTTACCAAATTGATTAAACTCCTTTAATTTCCCAAACTGAAATGCAGCAGGAAGAGCAGGATGAGCCTCCAGAGTTATAAACCAGGAAAAAGGCAGCACCAGTTAGGAAATATTTACATTTACAGGCTCACCTTACTCCAGGAACTCCTCCTGTTTGGCTGGACATGTACTGCAGATTTATTTGATTTATGGATTTGTGAGTATTTATTGCCTACAGCAGAATTAAAGCCATTGTTTGACCACATGGATCTGAGAAATTGATCCCAGGGAGTTACAACACCTGCCTGGAATAACTGGAGGTGAAACTCTTCACTTGGTGCAAAGGGAAAATAAAACAAGAACTCCACTTTTATTCTGGTAAGAGTTTAACTTCCCTTCTTTGCAAAAAGCCTTGAAAATGAGAAAATTAAGTTACAACTTTACGAAAAAGCGCTCCTGCTCTCATGCCTGCCCGAATCTCAAAAGTTTTGCCTCCTGCCACTGCAAGTTTTCACAAACCTACTCCTAAATTTGAAATTCTCCTGATAATTCCTCCCCTATTTAACCTGATACACCTCCCACTTAGAAAAGATGTCCCCAAAGTTCCTTTTTTCCTGCAATTGAGCCTTTGTTACAAGATCTGTTTGGTTTTGGTGGAGCTGCAGAGGTTTAGGAAGAGACCTCAGAGCACCTCAAGGAGTGCAAACACAGCTCCAGGTGAAGGGGCAGGACAGGAAGAAAGCCAGAGGAGCTCCAGGCTGGAATTCAGAGGGAATTTCCTGATGGAAAAGCTGTTAAACACCAGAAGGGGCTGCCCAGGGAGCTTTGGAGGTGTCCAAGGAACAACACTCGGAGCTCTGGGGTGGGGACAAGGTGAGGACTCGACGATCCCTGAGATCTTTTCCAGCCTGAATGATCCTGGGATCCTCAAACTCTTGAAGAGGCTGAGCTGGAGAACAGGAGAAAAATCAAAAATCCCTACAACAACTCCTGATAACACAGAAAAAGAGATTCGCTCGCCCTGAGGCAAGCTCCTTCTGTAACACCCCAAAAATTATCCCCAAATTGCCTTCCCCCCTCGCATCTCCTGAGATGAAAGGTCACCTCCGCCTACTGCTGACGTTGTTGCCTATTAAAAATAAACACGGGGAGATGAAAAGACTCTTTTCATGCTCTCGCCCAAGGACGCCGTGCAAGTCACGGCATCGGGCGGAACAAAGGGCTCTCTGTTCCAACGGGATGTGCCTCACAGGAACGCCTGAACAACCCCAGGAGGAACAGGGAAACAGGGCAGGAGGAGGCCTGGCAGCCAAATTGATCTCAGTGATTCAATCCTGGGAAATCCGAGAGGAGGAAGAGATAAATGCTTACTTGGGAAGAGATAAACGCTTCCTGTCCTGCGCTTTGCCGCTCGGGTGTTGTGTGAAGGGACCTTAAAGATGGTCTGGTTCTGTCCTCCAAGGGATGGAAGCCAAAGGAGAGATGGAATGTGCAGATTTTTTTAGTTGAAGGGACCTTAAAGACGGTCTGGTTCTGTCCTCCAAGGGATAAAAGCCAAAGGAGAGACGGAATGTGCAGATTTTGTTGTGTGAAGGGACTTTAAAGGTGGTCTGGTTCTGTCCTCCAAGGGATGGGAGCCAAAGGAGAGATGGAATGTGCAAATTTTTTTAGTTGAAGGGACCTTAAAGATGCTCTGGTTCCATTCTCCAAGGGATGAAAGCCAAAGCAGAGATGGAATGTGCAGATTTTGTTGTGTGAAGGGACCTCAAAGATGGTCTGGTTCCGTCCTCCAAGGGATGGAAGCCAAAGCAGAGATGGAATGTGCAGATTTTGTTGTGTGAAGGGACCTTGAAGATGGTCCCATTCCATCCTCCAAGGGATGGAAGCCAAAGCAGAGATGGAATATCCATATTTTGTTGTGTGAAGGGACCTTAAAGATGGTCTGGTTCCGTCCTCCAAGGGATGAAAGCCAAAGGAGAGATGGAATGTGCAGATTTTTTGGTTGAAGGGACCTTAAAGATGGTCTGCTTCCATCCTCCAAGGGATAAAAGCCAAAGGAGAGATGGAATGTGCAGATTTTGTTGTGTGAAGGGACCTTAAAGACGGTGTGGTTCCATCCTCCAAGGGATAAAAGCCAAAGGAGAGATGGAATGTGCAGATTTTCCACCATTCCAAATAATTTTCTTAGCAAATCCTCACTTTTGTTACTCAGCAAGAACAGCTACTCAAATTATAAGCACACCATGTGCAGATTTTGTTGTGTGAAGGGACCTTAAAGGTGGTCTGGTTCCGTTCTAAGGGATGGAAGCCAAAGCAGAGATGGAATGTGCAGATTTTGTTGTGTGAAGGGACCTTAAAGGTGCTCTGGTTCCATCCTCCAAGGGATGACAGCCAAAGGAGAGATGGAATGTGCAGATTTTCCACCATTCCAAATAATTTTCTTAGCAAATCCTCACTTTTGTTACACAGCAAGAGCAGCTACTCAAATTATAAGCACACTACGGAACACAGTTGTTGTTGTGTGAAGGTGTTGTATGAAGGGACCTTAAAGGTGGTCTGGTTCTGTCCTCCAAGGAATAAAAGCCAAAGGAGAGAGGGAATGTGCAGATTTTTTTAGTTGAAGGGACCTTAAAGGTGGTCTGATTCCGTCCTCCAAGGGATGGAAGCCAAAGCAGAGATGGAATGTGCAGATTTTTTTAGTTGAAGGGTCCTTAAAGATGGTCTGGTTCCGTCCTCCAAGGGATGGAAGCCAAAGGAGAGATGGAATGTGCAGATTTTGTTGTGTGAAGGGACCTTAAAGATGGTCTGGTTCTGTCCTCCAAGGGATGGAAGCCAAAGGAGAGATGGAATGTGCAGATTTTTTTGGTTGAAAGGACCTTAAAGGTGGTCTGGTTCCGTCCTCCAAGGGATGGAAGCCAAAGGAGAGATGGAATGTGCAGATTTTCCCCCACTCAAAATAATTTTTTAAGCAAATCCTCACTTTTGTTACTCAGCAAGAGCAGCTACTCAAATTATAGGCACATCATGGAAGACGGTTGTTGTTGTGTGAAGGTGTTTGTGAAGGGACCTTAAAGACGGTCTGGTTCCGTCCTCCAAGGGATGGAAGCCAAAGCAGAGATGGAATGTGCAGATTTTTTGGTTGAAGGGACCTTAGAGACGGTCTGCTTCCATCCTCCAAAGGATGAAAGCCAAAGGAGAGACGGAATGTGAAGATTTTGTTGTGTGAAGGGACCTTAAAGATGGTCTGGTTCCGTTCTCCAAGGGATGGAAGCCAAAGGAGAGATGGAATGTGCAGATTTTGTTGTGTGAAGGGACCTTAAAGACGATCTGGTTCCGTCCTCCAAAGGAAGAAAGGCAAAGGAGAGATGGAATGTGCAGATTTTCCCCCACTCAAAATCATTTTCTTAGCAAATCCTCCCTTTTGTTACTCAGCAAGAGCAGCTATTCAAATTATAGGCACACCATGGAACATGGTTGTTGTTGTGTGAAGGTGTCGTGTGAAGGGACCTTAAAGACGGTCTGGTTCTGTCCTCCAAAGGAAGAAAGCCAAAGGAGAGATGGAATGTGCAGATTTTGTTGTGTGAAGGGACCTTGAAGATGGTCCCATTCCATCCTCCAAGGGATGGAAGCCAAAGGAGAGACGGAATGTGAAGATTTTTTTAGTTGAAGGGACCTTAAAGACGGTCTGGTTCCGTCCTCCAAGGGATAAAAGCCAAAGGAGAGATGGAATGTGCAGATTTACCCCCACTCAATATAATTTTCTTAGCAAATCCTCACTTTTGTTACTCAGCAAGAGCAGCTACTCAAATTATAAGCACACCAGGGAACACAGTTGTTGTTGTGTGAAGGGACCTTAAAGATGCTCTGGTTCCGTCCTCCAAGGGATGGAAGCCAAAGGAGAGATGGAATGTGCAGATTTTGTTGTGTGAAGGGACCTTAAAGATGGTCTGGTTCTGTCCTCCAAGGGATGGAAGCCAAAGGAGAGATGGAATGTGCAGATTTTTTGGTTGAAGGGACCTTAAAGGTGGTCTGGTTCTGTCCTCCAAGGGATGGGAGCCAAAGGAGAGATGGAATGTGCAGATTTTCCCCCACTCCAAATAATTTCCTTAGCAAATCCTCACTTTTGTTACTCAGCAAGAGCAGCCACTCAAATTATAGGCACACCACAGGTTCCAATTTCCGACCTCGCAGCGCTGGGAGATAATAACCCAAATCCTTTTATTTTAACACAGACGTGTGGCTGTTATTTGGGAAGTGGCTTTGCAGGATTTAAAGCAAATCACTTGGGTGATCTTTCCCCGTTCTGTTCTTTGATCTGAGAACTAAACAGAAAACATCCTGGTGAACTCAGAGAGGGAAGGAGGGAACTTTCCTCCCCTCAGGCTCCAGGGAAGAGAGTGATGCCATGATTGCAATTCCCGGGTGGAAGCAGCCACAGGAGCTGCTCTTTGTCCTCAATCTCCTGATCTTTCATGGAGCACAGAGAAAAAAAATCGGGAATTGTGTCTCAAAGGGCAGAACCAGAGAAAAAAAACGGGAATTGTGTCTCAAAGGGCAGAACCAGAGAAAAAAAAATCGGGAATTGTGTCTCAAAAGGCAGAATCCCTTCCAGGCTGCCTGCCCTGGAGGATGGGATTGGTTTGGGGTTAATTCCACAGACAGCTCCTGCTTCCCCTGAGCGCCTTGGAGAAAAAAAATCGGGAATTGTGTCTCAAAGGGCAGAACCAGAGAAAAAAAATCGGGAATTGTGTCTCAGAGGGCAGAACCAGAGAAAAAAATCGGGAATTGTGTCTCAAAGGGCAGAACCTTCCAGGCTGCCTGCCCTGGAGGATGGGATTGGTTTGGGTTTAATTCTGCAGACAGCTCCTGCATTCCCTGAGCACCTTCAGCCTCCTGCTCTTACCTAAAAACTCTGAACATTTATTTTCCAGATTCCTGTGAGCCCCAGGCGCTCACACTCCACCTGGAAATGTTTGTCCCACGTTCACACCTGAACCAAAATTCTTCTGCTGGAGTCGAACAATAAATCTGCCTCAATCCAAAGGCAGCTGCTGCTTCCTGAAGAAAACCAGGGAATGTTCACACAGACAAGGAGCTGGGGCAGCAGCCTGGCAGAAAATCAGGGCCAGTTCCACTTTTCCCACCCAGTTTGGCTGGTTCATGCCAGGAAATCAGAGGTGAACATGGCCAGGAGTGCAGGAGGGAGTTTGTTTCTGCTGGCACAGAGCCAGTGCGGCCAATCCAAGGTGTTTATTCTGTTTTCTGAAGGCAAAAGGTGACTTTGCCCCGGCCTGCTCCCAGTGCTCGGTGCCAAGACACGTTCAGGGAGAATTCCTGGCACGGAGCACGTCCCAGCTTACCTCACCTGGCGAGAAACTGAGGTGTACTTTTATTTTTGGAATTATTTCTGGTTTCTTGCAGTGCTACACATATGAAAAGCCAAATGGGGCACAGCTCATGTTGCCTGTTGAGCTATTCCCAATTATCTGTATGAAGCCTTTCAATATCCCACATCTCATCATTTGATGGCAGCTGGAAAAATCCTGATGGCAGCGAGGATTAGACTGACACTGCACTGCTTCAGGGGCTGGGAAGGGAAAAAAAATCAGACTTTTTTACCTCAGCACTAAAAATAAATGTCTGCATTTAAATAGTTATTTAAGAAACCCCAACAATAAAAAAAGACAAGTAATTACTGTGGGTTTAAATGATATTTTTTCCATGATATAGGCTGAACTCGGCACTCACTCACCCTGTTATTTACTTTAAATAAGGCCAATTATTTTACCTGCCGTGCTCCGAGAGGGAATAATATAAAAAAATAATAAAAAACCATCCCAAGTTTCTGTCTGCAGACAGACAGAAAGGTTAATTTCTGCAGAAAAAAAAAAAATAAAGATAAAGATGGAAGTAGTCAAAAGACAGCGAATGACATCAATCTCTGCCTGTGGGTCCAAAAAGCAAATCCATCTGCTCTTGTTCCTTAAAGATGTCTCCTGCTGCACGTTAAATCCCAAAGTTCCTGTGGAGGATGGCATCCATCTGTCAGTCTGCAGTTCTCCTGGCTGTGGGAGCTGTGATTTGGGAATGGGACTGGGAGAATTCCAGAGGGATATTATCAGGGAAATAAATCCACCAATAAATCCACCACCCTCTGGGCAGTATTTCAGACAGACTCTTTGCCTGGGCGAGGAAGAGGCTCTGGGGCAGGAGCTGTGAATGTTAAAATCCATTTTTTCACAGAAATGACACATTCCCATCTCCTGCAAGGGTGGCATTCCCAGTGGGAGTGTGATCACAGCTCCCAGGCTGCTGGAGAAGCTCCAGTGCTGCTGTCACCGTGGGGAGGGGAAGGAGACCATGGTGAGAAGTGGAGCAACAACAACCGTCTCCTTTTTCTTCTGCTCTTCCCTCTCCTCCTTCTCCTCCTCTGTCTCCTCTTTCTCCTTCTCCTGCTCCTTCCTTCTCCTCTTCTCCTTCATTTTCCTTCTTCTCCACCTTTTCCTCCTCCCTCTCCTTCTCCTCCTCTTCCTCCCTCTCCTTCTCCTTCTCCTTTTCCTCCTCCTGTCTTCTCCTTCTCCCACTCCTTCCTTCTTCTCTTCTCCTTCTGTCTCCTTCTCCTTTTCCTCCTCTCCTCTGTCTCCTCCTTCTCCCACTCCTTTTCTCCCCTTCTCCTTCTCCTCTTCCTCCCTCTCCTTTTCCTCCTCCCTCGCCTTCACCTTCCTCCTCCTTCTTCTCCTTCTTCCTCTCCTTCTCCTCCTCTTCCTCCCTCACCTTCACCTTCCTCCTCCTTCTCCTTCTCCTCCTTCTTCTCCTTCCTTCTCCTCCTCCTTCTCCTTCTCTTCTCTTCCTCTCTCTCCTTCTCCTCTTCCTCCCTCTCCTTCTCCTCGTTCTCCTTTTCCTCCTCCCGTCTTCTCCTTCTCCTTTTCCTCCTCCTGTCTTCTCCTTCTCCCACTCCTTCCTTCTTCTCTTCTCCTTCTCTGTCTCCTCCTTTTCCTCCTCTCCTCTGTCTCCTCCTTCTCCCACTCCTTTTCTCCCCTTCTCCTTCTCCTCTTCCTCCCTCTCCTTTTCCTCCTCCTTTGTCTTCTCCTTCTTCCTCTCCTTCCTTCTCCTTCTCCCCTCTCCTTCTCCTCTTCCTCCCTCGCCTTCGCCTTCCTCCTCCTTCTTCTCCTTCTCCCTCTCCTTCTTCTCCTCCTCCTCCTTCTTCTCCTTCCTCCTCCTCCTTCTTCTCCTTCCTTCTCCTCCTCCTTCTCCTTCTCTTCTCTTCCTCCCTCTCCTTCTCCTCTTCCTCCCTCTCCTTCTTCTCCTTCTCCCACTCCTTCCTTCTTCTCTTCTCCTTCTCCGTCTCCTTCTCCTTTTCCTCCTCTCCTCTGTCTCCTCCTTCTCCCACTCCTTTTCTCCCCTTCTCCTTCTCCTCTTCCTCCCTCTCCTTTTCCTCCTCCTTTGTCTTCACCTTCTTCCTCTCCTTCTTCTCCTCCTCCCCTCTCCTCCTCCTCCTCTCCCTCTCCTTCTTCTCCTCCTCCTCCTCCTCCTTCTCCTCCCTCTTCTTCTCCTCCTCCTCCTCCTCTTTCTCTTCTCCTTCTTCCTCTCCTTCTCCTCCTCTTCCTCTCTCTCCTTCTCCTTCTCTTCCTCCTTCTCCTCCTCCTCCTCCTCCTCCTCCTTCCCCTTCTCCTTTTCTTCCTCCTGCTCCTCCTCCTCCTATTTAAACGCAGACATTTATTTTTAGCGCTGAGGTAAAAAACTCTGATTTTTTTTCCCTTCCCATCCCCTGAAGCAGTGCAGTGTCAGTCTAATCCTCACTGCCATCAGCATTTTTCCAGCTGCCAACAACAAAACCCTGCAGAACAGAACCAGACCAGCTGAATTCCCAAATTTTGGAAACACTGAAGAGAATTTCCCTTTTATTCTCAAAGGCTTCTCCAGCTCCACGTGTGACTTGGCTGTGCCAGCGCAGACTATTCCATCTCTATTTTGGCTGTGCCAGTGCAGACTATTCCATCTCTATTTTGGCTGTGCCAGCGCAGACTATTCCATCTCTATTTTCCACCGGGATGAGGATGGCAGAATTTTCCTGAATTTTCTCATTCAAGCCCAAATATTTCCTGGCAGAACAACCAGGAGGACCTGCAGGGTTCTGACTGCCTTAATGTCAATTTTGTCATCATCAAACGGTGACAAAAGGAGGGCAAATCCCATCTGTCACCTCCACAAGGGGCAGAAATTTATTTATCCTCTTCCTCTGCTGCCCTGATTTGGATTTAAGGTGAATTAAAGCCCCACAGCACAGCAGACAAACCCTTTCTGCATGGCAGAGAAGAGGCACGAGGCTGTTGGAGCAGGATTTCAGCAGGAGGCTGAGAAATCCAGGAGCAGAACTTTTGGCAGGCAGAAAGGCTGTGAGTGACAATCCATCCAGGCTGGAGGAATTCGGGAAGCTTTGCTTGCCACTCCCTTGGAATTCTGGAATAAACCCACTCATGCCTGAGCTGGGAATGTTGGAGATTGTTTTCCAGGAAGGAATCACCATCCTGTCTTCCCTGGCTAAAAATCAGGAGCAGCAACTCTCAGGAATTGGATAAATGAGTGAATTTTGCTGAATTTTGCTCCTGTGAAAAGAAATCTCACCTAAATCCTTCAAGGAATGAATCTGCAATATCCACAAAGTTTCTGCCCCAAATTAAACCCCAAAATACTCAGGGGATAAAATAAAATGATGCATCTCCATGGAAAAGTCTCCAAAAAGGGTTTTTTGGTGTTGGGAAGGAGCAGAGCACAGCCCTGATCCGCTGCAGCAACATCCATAAATAATAAGATGCCAATTGAAGTAAAGACATAATCTGTAGGATTAAAGTTATACAAACGACTCTGGATAAGGAACAAAACGTGTCTGCAATGTGAATTCTGACATTTTAACAGCTGTGCCTCAATCTAACGCTGCAGACCATCTGTCAAATCTGTACCCCAGCAAAGCCACACACACACGACGGATGGGAAAGAGAATTTCCATCTCTGGGCCTCAAAATCAAGGATATTCCACAGAGAAATAATGAAAATACATTGTTTAGAATAATTCAAATAAAATATCATGGTTTTTTTCCCTCGTGGTGGCTCTCCAGGCAGGCTGCACTGCCAGTCCAGGACGCTGAGCTGTCTTTTGGTGGAATTAATTCAAAAATCAGCAGGTTGCTCCACGTGCATAAATAATTCAGGAGGGTTTTCCTCCTCTGTTCTCCACAAACTCTGCAGCCCCTGAATTATGGAATCACAGGATCATGGAATGGTTTGGGTTGGAAGGGACCTTAAAGCTCATCCAGGTCTGTCGTAGTTTGACACGGAAAAAGAATTTTTCCGGAAGGAAGAGGTCAGTTTGGACAGTGACCAATTGAAGGTGGACACGGCTCTGAGAACACAGAGGGGTTAAAAGCAGAATTCCCAGGAGAACTCGCTCTCTTGGGTTCCGGTCAGTGGTCAGTGCAGGACTCTCCCTAACCCTTCCTGAGAAATGAAAGCTTTGTGACATTTTTCTCCTCCTTGGTTTGAAAGAGAGGAAGAGAGACAGCCTGAAACCTGAGATGTTAGAAAGAGAAATTCTAGGTGGGAGGGGATGATGGAGTGGCTTTTGGCTGGACTTTTTCTTGGTAGCCACAGACTGAACTGATCTTCTCCTCCAAAGAGAGACTGTATTTTGGGAAGATGCTGGTGAGCCAAAGAGACCTGCTTCAGCTGGGAAAAGACAGAAGTGGAGCGAACAGGGAAAAGTTAAGGAGGTTTGTGGTAGTGTCCCCTGTCTTCAGAGAGGAAGAAGAGAAGAAGATTTCTCTTCGTGGATCCTCGGCCCCAGGGGAAAATGGGGGGGACTGTTGGTCCCAAAAATAAAAAACTGAACTGTTGTTTTTTCCCCTCTTGGCAGGGCATCCTTGAAAGGAAAAATCCTAAAAGCAGTCTGTCCATCCATGCATTGGTGGTGAGAGCACTGTGCATGGAAAGGAGAGGGTCACCACTGGCAAACTTTTTTTCTCCGGGCGGTGCCATGTGGTGACATGGAAGCACAGGGTGTGGCAGCTGTGTTTTTGGGGGGTCTGTGGCACAGGAGGGGCTCCTCTCTCCCTGCAGTTGGACTGGGTGTTGGTTATCTGTCAATGGGCTGGGTATTGATTATCTGTCAATGGGCTGGGTGTTGATTATCTGTCAATGGGCTGGGTGTTGATTATCTGTCAATGGGCTGGGTGTTGATTATCTGTCGATGGACTGGGTGTTGATTATCTGGAGGGTGGAAACCTGATTGGGGTCCAGATTGTGTCTCGCTGTGATTTGTTGGAGTTGGGTGGTGAGAGGAGAAATACTTTGGAAGGTTTTCATTTTGAATTGTGTGTGTTTTCTTTCTTCTTTTTTTTCCCTTCTTTTATAATAGCATAGTGGTAGTAGTTTAATAAAGTTTTTTTCTTGTTATTAGGCTCGGGCCTGCTTTGCTCTGTTCTCAATCACATTTCACAGCATTCATTGAGAGATTTTCATGGGGGCACTGGCATTGTGCCAGTGTCAAACCATGACAAGGTCCAACCCTCCCACTGCCCCCGGTTCCTCCGACCCTTCCAGGGATGGAGCAGCCAGGAATTCTCTGGGAATTTCTTCCAAAATTTTTCTGCACTTCCTGGAGTTGGATCCATCCAAACCAAGCAGCTCCACCTCCCATTTAATTCTGTGCTCACTCCACCACAGCTTCTCTCCTTCCTTCCCCAAGAACTGGTATTTATTTCACACTTTTCCACTCCAGACTGTTTTTTTGTGAGGATTCTCGGGGTTTGGAGATTATTTCAGCCCATTTCCAACAGCAGAAAAGTAAAGCTGCAGCGCTCAGCACCTTTCCCATGCATTAATTGGGAAAACGTGACCAGATGATGAAATAATTCAGATTTTACTGAGGAAAAGCTGTAAATTTACCTGAAAGTCTGGGTGAAAAACACAAAATCATCCTCCACTGCAGGAGTACAAGGTGAACTTTAGCTGATCCTCAGGAACAACTTCCCGTATTTTGGTGTCAGCCACGGAATTCTTCCAACAACGGGCACAAACAACGAGGAAGCGAAGTGGCTTTGGGGGAAATCTTCACTTTTTGGAAAGAAATTTTCCTTTTCTTTCATGATTGTAATTCTACAGCGATCCTGTAGGCTCTGAGCAAACACTGGCTGAATTTATTGGGATTTTTTATTTTTATTTTTCAAAGAAATCGTCCGTCCCGATATCAATTTCTTGTACCCAGTTAAGGAATTACAAACAGGCCTCTCTATTCATCAGACAACAATACAGAACAGAAAATTTAAGACTGAGAATGCCTCAATTTACTCCAGCGGATTAAATGAAAATTAATTTACGCTTCTAAATAGAGGAATTAGGATAATTAGTGGGCGACTTCAATTTTTAACCACTTTTAAACTAGAAAACATGTGTGAACACAGCAG